CGACCTCGGCCAAGCCGAAAACGGGGGCTGAGGCCTGGTAGAAGGCTAAGGGGGGGTGACGGGAAAGGGGATCTGGTTTGAGAAAGTTGAGAAAGAAAGGAGTCGCTGGGAGAGAGAAAGTTTAGCCCTGTAAATAATTTTAACAGTTAGGCTTGCTAGAAATCAAAATTTGGTACAATCTAAAATGGGTCTTTTTTATTTTATCTTAAATAAATGCATATTTAACAGGGACCAACACTTTATTGCATTTATACTATTTTTTGTTATAAATATTTGTATATATGCCTAACATATCAGTTACATAATAAAAAAGGTAATTGATTACCTTAAATTATGCATGTCACCCGTAATTAAGAGAGAGAAAATCATAAAATTAATGCTTGTTATATATCGATTTTGCTATAGAACCATCGGATGGCTCAACTTATAGAGTCATCCATAGTTATTCACAAATAATGTATTGACACGTGTCCTGCAGTAAATGCACATTAGACACGTGTCAGTACATAAAGTTATAGATGGCTCCATAAGGGAGCCATCTGATGGCTCTCTAGAATTTTTGTGTTGCATATAGTAAAAGAGAGAAAATCATCAGTAATTTTTGTCATGTTCAAGAACTAGTTTTGTAAAATATACAATAAAAAAACATGTGTACTTTTTATTGACATTGTGTCAACGAAAATATATATTGAAAATATACTGTATATAAACACAACATATACATTTTTTGATTTGGTGAGATTGTTTCAACAGGAACACATACAATTTATCTCTTCATATACTTTTTTATTTCTCGTATTTTTTTCTATTGATGATTTCTTTATGTGTGTTTTACTGATGGTATATGAATTGTTTTTCTTTTCGTAAAAAATGCAGCTACAACGAATTATATGTTGCGTTTCTAGTCGGTAAAATTTTTCATATGTTGAATAGGCAGTATATATAGGTTTGAGTTTGATGTCGTTGGTGTTTTGTGTGTTTTGTGTTTGAGTTTGATGTCGTTGGTGTTTTGTGTTGTTTTGTTTTGTGTTTTCCACGTAGAGGAGTGTGTTTTATCCCATAGGGGAGTGTGTATTCCTCCGTAGGGGAGTTTTATTCTCCAGATGTGGAGTTAGGTTTGTTTTTGTGTGTGTGTTTTGATCTAGTGTAGGTTATAAGAAATCTTTAGATCTGTCCTCCCACATTCAGATCTTTAGCTGCTTTATTCAGCTGTTGGGTAAGGGTGGAAATTTGTTTATGAAGTTGGGGACCGTAACCTCTTTATGATCTTATTCGAGCTTAATAACTGAAAAAACGATGAGAAATTGCACACAGTATCCAACAATATTTGAGTTTTGAGAAATTTGCAAACTGTATCCAACAATATTTGAGTTACTTGAATTTAAATTCCCTCACATTTCAATTTATAATTAGTTTTTCATTCAACCAAAAAGTGTGTTTGAGAATTTATTCTAACTATTCCACTTACAAAATTAGAACCGTAAAATCGATGTAAAACTGAATTTCCTCACGTTATGAACCAAAAAAAATCCTTATTTTTTAGTACATTTATTATTGCGTTTAATACAAGCACCCGAGCTCAATTGCAATACTAGTTTAATTACTTTGTTACAAGCGGTTAATTCGGTGCATAGGGTTGATGAAAACTGTTGGTCAACATGATAGTTGAGTCGAATTTTGAATTTGTATTTATAAGATACTTAAAATATAATGATTAAAATTGATGTGATATATAAAAATATGAAGAAAAAAAATTATTAAAAATAATAGGCAGTTAGTGAGCGAATTAATAATGAATTTAAGTTATTGCGATGCGTCAAGATGGTCAATTTATATTTCAATTATGTCAATAATATTGAGGATTATCACAATTTGATGTAAAGTTGAGTAGCAAAAGTCAAGGGTACTGCCATTCCATTACTTCAATTTGGCTTTTGTTCTTCCCCAAAAGAACACATGTATCACTACACATCAGAGAACACCAGTCCTGCTAAAAATCACAGAAGAATAGAATGGAAGTGCCCTATGAGATCATAAGGAGCAATCAATAATATCTGGACAATAAAAAAAAATTAAAA